AATTGGAGAAGCTACCATTGCTGAGTGTAAGCTACAAACAGCATCTTTATATCAGGATCGAGGTCTCTATTTAAACCCGTTTTTATCTATTTCGCTTAATGTAGAAGTTCACAAAACCTATTTCATTAAAGTAATGTGACCAACATTCGAACACTTTTGACTAAAACTAGATTTACCGCGAGATAATCAACTTATTTCTCTACTTTCGTCAAGTGTTTCGCTGATATTAACGTATGAGGATGTTAGTACGAAGGTCTCAGAATTTGAGGGAGCTGCTGTTGGCACGAATGAAATTTTTGCTTTTAATTAGCTGTAATAATAGAGTGTCATTTAAACTAATTCGATATATGATCAAGGCTGCTTTTTATCAAATCTTCATGACCAAAAAAGAGTTGCAACAAATTTTGCAATTATTCCACATCTCTAAATTTGTCCGTGTAGCTTCCAAAAACTACAAAAAGTTCTTCTATTATAACAACCGCTACGACCTAGCAGCACTAGTACGCTTTGAACCTCAGATTTGTCTGCTGGATTAATTTTGCAGAAGGCTTTTAAACCTATCCACTCATCTATAAATTATTTCATAGAAAGCTCACAGCAGATAGATTAACAATAGGCTCTGACGTTCTGAATTTTGATAAAGATTGAAAAGAGCAACTAAATAGCTTGTAATTGCTTTGTTATTAGTGGATGGAGGGTCATGTGATGAATGACAAGGGAATGACTATAGGAGGGTGGGGCCCTTATGATGAGGTGATATTATTGAAGGAGGCTAAGTTCAAATCCAGCAGCGATAAACTCGTTAAAAAAGCTATTTCTAATTTTATTATTACAAGCAATTGCTTTGAAAACCGTCGTTTACCGCTCAAAAACTTCGTATATGTTTGACATGAATGTTGATGAGACAAGCATTTTATTGTTAAGATGTAAATTAGAACTTTGATTGGTTTGAAGGCCCCTATTTTTCAAGAAATTTTTTTACATCTACTTTTATTAAAGGCTACGCAGATATGGAACAAACGTTTTGAATCAACCTTAGAATATACATCTGATGGATTACACCTCTCATAAAAGGTCGCAATTTCACATCATTTTCTTGTGAGTGAGCTTGATGAGGATTAGGTTATATCAAAGTACCAAACGAAACTATTTAGAGAATTTCGTCTCCTAACAAGATCCCAGGAAAAATATTGGTTGATCGCTGCTTCCCTCAAAAATGGACAAAAATTTTCAAAGGGTTTGCTATAAAATTAGACATCCTATGATTGAAATCAAAAACTCATGTCTAATACAACTTTGCAAATCACTCGCACTTCTCTTAATTCATGCGTTCGCCCCAGAAATAATTTATGAAAACGTAATACCGTTCTATTTTAACTTATAATAGTTGACTGTTCTGTTTCTGACCACAAAGTAATAAATTAAGTTAAAAGAAAATTGTCCATTTTTTTCAGATGCTCACAACTTTTCCTAAGCAAAATATCGTGAAACCGTATGCTTAGATCCTGGAGATCATAAGCGCTTGCATTCTGCAAGTATAATGTTTCCCCTTGATTAGACAGACAAGTTCAAGATTTGGGAAAAATTCTCTTTTCTGGAGCAATCGTTCTTAAAATTACCCTCTATTATTGACTTGTATACATACCTCAACATTGTAATTCGGGACCTCCTCTAAGGTTTGCACCGATGTTTCGTAGGGCGTGATTAGATAGAGGGTATGTCGTAAATTCACGAGAGTCAGTCTAAAATTAAATAATGGCACTTAAAAAACTTCCTCTCAAGTCGTAAAATTCCCGTCCAACTTCATTCTGTGTTCGAACGTTTGTCCTTTCAAACAAATTTCGACTATTTCAAGTGGTGATGGCCCGCAATATAAGAGCTGACCTTTCGAGGAGGCGATGACCAAGTGAAGTGTTGGAAAAAATCCTGTCAAGGAGCGGAGCTATGGTTGTCGTTAGAT